CACATCATCGAGAAGTCCTTGAATGTCAATTTTACATATTTTTAAATGTTAAACTTCTGTTTCTATTATTTTTCTAACACAAGATATTTAATTCACTTAGAGAGCGAGAGAGAGAGAGAGAGAGAGAGAGAGAGCGAGGTAGAAAGATAGAAAATGTATATGCATCTAATTCTGATTTAAATTGAATTATATAAGTACATTACCAAAATTATGGATTAATTAATGAATTGTTGCTGTAATCATAATTTACATTCTAATACATTCTAAGACGTTATTAAATTTTATAACAATATTATAATTTCATAATTCTACATCGTCACTTTTTACATGAATGGTGTATATTTCATGGCTACATCCATAAATCTATATTTCTATTATTAAAGTGATTTGCTTGTAACATAGAAAAAATTCCCTGCGGTATGAGATGCGGTTAAGGCCTTTGTAACGAACGCGATTTTTTAGTTCTATCGGTACAGCGGCTTCGTTGAAGATTCGTTGTTTATTTCGAAGCCTATCAAGCATCCTGCTTACTTTCTGTCGTTTTCGAGAACAGACGCTGGACAGAAAGTCTTGCATATGTGCAAATCTTTTGTTGCTCATTCACGATTGTGCCATTTCCGTGGGAATTTACTCGACGGAAGTAGAAGTACTTCAATTCGATTTTGACAAAACCGCGCGACACGCTTCTTATATGAATATTTTGTATGCACCAGTGTTATCTTTAGTTTTTTTACGATAAATAAATGTAAATTCTTCATATGCTGTATTAAGTAAAATTTAGATTTGATTTTGTAAATTATCGATCGATTTATATCACGAAGATAAACAATACATTTTCACAAATATCATTATTATTTATGCAAGGAATTCTTTAAAACGTTTTTCTAATTTTAATAATTTATTGGAAAGTTAAGATTTAATTAAAAAATAATAAAAAAATTTCCATAAAATTAACAACAAATACTATTTATAATATAGATATAGATAGTAAAAACTCATTGATCCAATTAAATAAATAAATATCATTTTGTATTATGTACTTGGGCTTATTTACATATTATGTGTATATAAAACGAGGCTTTGTAATCTAATTTATAATATAAATATTATATTATAAAATTTAAATACTTATATTTTACAATTTATAAAAATTGCGTATTGACAAGTTATATTATGATAGTGATTAAAATAAATTTTATAAATGATACATTTGTATTTTACTGCGTTAGGTGTATTTTGTCTAATAAATAATAGTATAGAAATTTTCATATACAATTAAAATGTATAAGCTAAACAATAGTATTTTAATACTGTAATTATTACATAATTTATAGAATTTACAATTTTAATTACAATTCTGCTTTAATTCAGAATTAGAAATAAATAAATTGTTTGATAATTTAGGTAGAATATTGGAAATAATAAAAATATATAAATAAAAACATTTGTGTATAAGAAAATTATATATTTAAAATTTAAATTAATAAATTCAAACAATAAGTATACATACAAAGTGCAAATAATAATAATCTAAGAATAAGAAACTATTTCAAGCATACAAAAGTAATTAGTAAGCATGAATTAATAAATATATTCAAAAAATATTTTTTCCATTTACCTACAGTCTATTAAATTAATCTATTAAACTTACAGTGTATTAAATCCCAATGAAATATAAGGAAAAATCGAAATTTATAAATAATTTTATAAGAATTGCAAAATGCGGAATTTTAACACAGAAGAATCAATTGGAATTTTGTATTGGGTACACTGGGATTTTTTGTTGTTTGACACAGCGTAAATGCTGACTATGAAAATTATACAAAAATTTATATTCATATTACTATTAATGTATAGTTTTTAAAAGATAAAATCTTTTTGTTGTCAATTCGGACAAATCTTGGATCAGAAATAAAAATTGTCTAATATTAGTTTTTTTGGTTAAATTTAGTTACGCAAGAAGGAAGCTCTTACAACAATTCGTTAAGAATAATATATATTATAGATGTATTATTCATACATTATGAAACTGATTTATATTTAGTTAACAAACTGTATATTTGTAGATAAATATAAGGAGTGGACATAACAATTACAAGTTTCAAAACGAGAAAGAGAATTAAAGCAAACTTATTTGTTATTAGTCGTTGTCAATTAGATTGATATTGATAACGGAGACGGCAACAATGAGATTCACGTTGGATTCAAAAAGCTTTAAACCAATATTTCGTTTTAGTTTTTACGTGTACGATTGCAAGAAAGCAATATCTTTTGTTTAGCAGTATAATATTATGCATCATTAATAAAAATACTGCAATGATCAGCTGCATCATCAGGAATTTGAAAAGGCATTTGTACAGAAATTTCGCGAGACGTTAGAGCCCTAAACCTTATTATCGGTAAGATTGTGTCGTTAAATTACAAATTTTGAATGATCAAACGAATCATCCGCGCTCATTAAGTCGCCGAGAACAATCGGTCATTGGCATTAAAGGCTACAGGATTACAATTGTACAAACATTCTAATAGTGCGTTGAAAGAATAAATGGATAGTAGTATCGACCATAAGTCAGATTTAGCTGTTGCCACCGACATTGTTTTTGCTATACTTTTTGGATTTCTATTAAGATTACTTTTATGAGCAAACTGCAATCCTTGACCGACTAACAGCTAGCCTCTGTTATGTTTCTAGTTCATTTATTCTTAACAAACAAATCTGGCAATAGTTAATGATATGATCAGTAAAGCTCATTAATTTACGAGAGAGCTTAATGTGTATTATATTAAAAGCGTCGACGGAGTGAAGTATTTTAAAAAGCGATAAGAGAGCAAATGCATTTGCTCAGATATATAAACATACGAGCAATGTGCGATAAATTCTGTTTGTAAACACGTTACCGCTCTAAAGGCTTTTACTCGCGCACGGAGGAAATAATCTCCAAGCTCATTCATCAGCAAGCATTTAAGCAAGTAAGATATGCATACATATACATATACATATATACATATGCATATATACATATACATATATAATATTTCGTTGAAAGAATAAATGGATAGTATAAGATAAATAATAAAAATAATAATATAAATAATCTCCAAGCTCATTCATCAGCAAGCATTTAAGCAAGTAAGATATGCATACATATACATATACATATATACATATGCATATATACATATACATATATGCATATACATATATACATATGCATATATACATATACATTTACACAAACACATGCGCGTGCATATCCATTTGTTCTTTTTTTTTCTTTATATAAACATAAAGAAAGAGAGAGAATAAGAGGGTATGCTAGAATGAGTAAAAAGAGTAGAACGAAAAGTATTCTAACGAAAAGTATCAGGAGTGCAATAAAACACCTGTAAAATCGCTTGCTCCGCCGATTACCGGGCGTAAGCCTGACGCAGAAGAAAAACGTGAATTTCCTTTGTCACGCTCGTTCGGCCGTTGCCTCACGCTCTCTATCGTGAGGCTAACTCCCTAGTAAGTCCCAAGAAAAGCGAAGCTATTAAAAGAGTCCTTTTTACGAGGAGAGGGTGGGAAGGGGGAGAGGGAGTAGGACGCGTGCGTGCGCAAAGCAGCGCAACGAAATTTCTCGGTGCTTGTGAGACGAGCGAAACGCGTAAGCGCACATGTATACATTTTTCCTTTGTAAAAGTGCGCAACTACTGCTACCGGGCGACGATTGTGACCACTTCCGTGGGAATTCGCGGAACGGAAGTGCAATTTCTCCCAATAGGTAGAATGTAAGATGACGGGAGTGTGAGAGATAAAGAGGCATAAGGAACGAGAGAGAATGAGCTGTGGGGCGGGTGGGAGAGACGTCCGTGGCGTCGGAAGCGTGAGCGGAGGCTGGCAATGCGTGTGCGGGATATAAAAATGCGCTTAAGAATTGAAGAAAGTAAAAAAGTCCAGGACTAAAGGAAAGGAAAAGGGAGAGGAGGCAGGGAGATGAAGGAATGAAGGGAAGGGCGTGGGCGCCAGGTGCCGCGACGTCCGTCGGGAAAAGAACGAGAGCCGAGTGGAGTTCCGCGACAAAAAGAGTAAGACGCTGCTTGCCGTTGAGATTAATTTCGCTCCTGCTTTTTTCGCCGTTCTCTCTTTTATTTTGCGCTTTATTTTTTTCCGTTTTTTGTTTGTGCAAATGCGAGTACTACCATCCAGTGCCTCCTCTCCGCGACTTTCGTCTGCCCTCACCTTGTGTTTGGTTGGCTCACCCTCGTTCTTTGCACCCACGATCGTGGGATTTGAGAATTTCTCAGCAATTGCGCACCTGTGTAGCCACCAATTCCCTATAAAGACGCTAGATCTACCTGAATGCTCTATTGTGTTATTCTCATTTGCCGATGTATTCGCTCTTTTAATACCAATAGCTCTACCTTAAGGAATAAAATCACTTTCGCGCACTGCTTTCATAAATTTATATTTAGTGATTAATGTATCCGGTGCAGTTTTGTACAGACTTAAGCTTATTAATAATTTATTCATCGAAAGCAAAGAATGCTGCTGTATCATAAATCTGCTTAAACATCGATGCACATATTGTTGTACTATCTTTTGTTGACGAAATACAAGTAAAGATATTGTGTATTTCGTTAATAATTGATAAGTAAATTTACTCATATTAAAATTCAAAGGACAAGGAAATCGACGATAGAGCTTAGTTGAAAAATTAAGGTAAATTTTAATTTAAAGATTGGAAGTAAAAAAAATAAAATTTCGTGTAAGATTAAAAGAATTTGGTATTTATTCAATTTTATGAATTTTCTAATTTATGTATATTTTTATATATAATATTTCTACTTTTTCCTTTCATTTACAATAACACTTTTCTGTATATAAAATCGTTGTTCGAAATATTGATTAAATTTAAGATAGGAGAAGACTCGTTATCCTTAAGATGGTTTTCATAGCTAGTAAGGTTGTGTACTTCTATAACTCCCACGCGTTTATTTTCACGTAAAAATTTAACACCTATAAAAGTTATCACATCATAAAATATTATTCTTTTTGATTAATAATAAATAAATTAATTTTTACTGTTGGTAAATTATCAACAATCTTTATTGCAATTGACTAGAATTTGTTGCCAATTATTACTTCAATGTTCACATAATTAATTGTCAGTCAGCTAAGAAAAGCTAAGACTAAGATACTTTCCCTTATTGCTATAAACTATATGACAATCCTTAATATCAACTAACTTGAATCTCAAAGTAAATTAAAATTAATCGTACAAAATAATTGCGCTAAGTAATTGATAATAAAAATAATGATTATAACAATAGAAATAGTGAAGAGGGATATAAAAATTGTAGCCCTCTTTCGTCATTCCAAAAGTTTGCAGGGCTATACGCGATACAGTCCAATTAGCAAAATCAGTCGTTCGGTCAGAAGCTTTTGTGCATCCAAAAACAAAGCATCAATTGAGGCTGTTGCTGGAATCTTAGCTCATCTCAACTTGGTATCAAGGCGCCTGGATCACTGTATCCCCTTTCGCTCCTTCAGCTCTTACATCCGCGTCTTCAGGGGCGCGTGACTCGCTTCCCGTCTCCACGCGCTTCCACTCCCATCGACCTTCCAGGGGACGTTCCTCCTTGAAGTTAAAGTTCCATTTGGCCTGCTTCTGAAAATGTTCAAGAGTAAAAAGTGTTTTAGCAACCACCTCATTACTTTCATCCTCTTTCTTTCTATCCCCCTCCCCCTCCCCCACAATTACCGTCGTCAAAATATCGTCTATGCCCTACTAACTTTCTTCCTCCTCCGAGGAATCGACGAAGTATTCATTTCAGTTAATTTCGAAATAATTAAATTTATTTTTTCGCATTAGGTGTTGTGTGTGTGTGGCGTTATTTTATTTCTTTTAACTCTTTGTTTCCCTGAGGCGAGATAATCTTACATTTGTCCTTGTTTTAACGGAGCTTATTTTGTCTTAATAATTTTGTTCCTCAAACTGATGAAATTTCTAGTACCCTTATACACTGTATAGAAACTTAATAAATTAATTTTGTTATAAATAAACTTATATTCGTAAAAGCTCGTCTGCCGGTATCCTTCAAATCATAAAGTGTTTAAGCGCAAAAGACGTTCGTAGAAACATGGATAATGTTTAAGCAAATTAATTCATGTATAAGTTTTTAATTTAGCTCATAAAGCTTTATGTAAATAAAGTTTCAGGTATTTATAAAGAATATTAACTATGAAAATGTTTTATAATACGTTTTTTAATATACTAATACATTTATGAAAGCTTTTATAATTTGTTGAATTAAACAAATATTTTCTTGTATAAAAATGTAATTAGTCTACGAGATTAAATTTCTGGAAGAATTTTTAGATTATGATATGTGTAATACTATGGCTAAATTGAAATATGAATTTACATGCATGTAAAAAAAAGATTGCGAGTTCTTTTGAATAATAATTATAGCACGAATTATAATTCTATGACCCGTTATCACCCAATTAACAATAATTAACCAATTAACCTACAAATTATTATAAATAAATGGTTTTCTAAAAATGCACATTATTTTATAGTTTTGTTTATATTTATATTTAAAGCTTGCGAAATCCATGAAAGGCAGTTTAAAATATTAGAAATAATGAATTCTTCATCTTTTATATTATTGAATATTAAAGAAATAAAAGAAGCTTTTTCTAATGCTTTCTAACATCAATAATAAAAATTGAATAATATTACACATCTAATTATTCGTTATAATATTATCTTAAAAATTTATCTTACATGTCTCTTAAATGAAGTTTTGATGACATGAGTATTTGGTAAATTGTAGAATTTAAACTACAATACAATTTAAAATATTATTATTATGAAATTTTCTTTTCGTATTCTTTATTTCTTTATTTGTACATGTTCATATTATTTCATCGCAATAAATAAATTATATTATAAAATTTTTTGGCAGAACTATTAAAGGAAACTGTTGTCTCACCTCAGCCGTGTATTTAGCTCTTTCCTCGGCAAATTTAAGCTCCAGCTCGTTCTTTGTTGGTAAATTGCCATCATTAACCTCGCCAAAATTTAGACGTCTGCGCACGCTCTTTAATCGTGCTTCTTGACTGTCTGGATTGTTATCTGCCATTGCAAGGCGAGCTCTATAAAACAACAACAAAAATATTTTGTTAAAATCAGATATTCGTTATAGATATGTTTTAATAATATCCTGCCGACATTTATTATCTACATAACAATGTAAAATTCGTGGATTTTATTGAGGAACGTTATTTGTATTATTATTTATCGGTTCATTTATATGAATAAGATAAATTCATATGTCAAAACGTTATTAAAACTTATCGTCGATTCTTTCATCTCTCTAATATTTACTGAGATGCGAAAAAAACTTTAACGTGTTATAGGTTTATGCCTTATAATGTTCTTTTTCATAATTTTAATTACCATTGTTCAAAGTACTGCATTGTATTTTATAAATAGGTTTGTAAACATGAATTTGTAAGCACGGAAGTACTTTAAAGTGCTATAAAGAAAAAGGAGAAGTCGTAATAAATATCCACATGTACGAGAAAAGAATTTCATTAAGACAGAACGAATTAATAACGGAAGAACGGAATAAAGTGGCTAAATGATTAAAAATGAGTATCATTTGCCAAGAATTATAATAAGTATTAAAAAAAAAACTTATTTATTATGAATAATTATGAGATAATATAAATAATTATTATAGTAAGATTTATCAAGGAAAGAGAGCATTGTTCGAGAAAAAATTTATTTAACAATTTTTGGTAGAATCTTTTTACAATCGTTTAACATATATAAAATTGCATATAATGATGTTATTCATGAGATAAGAATTATTTAAGTAATTGTCGTCTTTACAGATATAAAACATAACTTTCTGTTGTAAGTTGTATTATTTACTTGAAGATACCTACCTAACAATTATTAAAACACGACAAAATGAGCAAGAAAATTTTACAGTACATATAATTTTATACATTTCACAAATACGTATTATTGTAATAATATTGTAAATTTATTGTCCCAATTCAAGTTCCTAATTAATATTTCGTTCATAATAAGAAATATCTCATTTAATATATTCAATGGCTATTAGAAATATGCATTATATATTAATTTTTTAAAGCCTTATACTTTATACTTTTTACTTAAAGATTATTGAGAAAACTTATCTGAATTCGATAAGTGGCATTTATAGATCACATTTTATTCATACTGTTGCAGGGTCCTAGTTATCTGAATGTTTTACTTTTTGTCTGAATATTACTTTCGTATTCTTACAGCTACATAATCACATTACAAATAAAATATATTTATATTAAATTCTAATATTTATTTTAACAATTAAATTTCAAATATGAATGTAAAAATAAGTAATTTTATTTTTAATCCATGTTAAAATGATGTTTTTATATGTTATCTTATAATGTTATCATAACATACTAGGCATTGAAATATTGATAGTGATTTTTCTTACGAACCAGAAATAAGACAATTTTTGGAAAATGGTTTTTAATTATGTTGGTTTTGTGAGCATTATAATTCATAAATACGCATTATATTTTTGTCCCGTATGTGGTATGGTATATCCGCAAACTGATTGAACAGAGAGAATGAAAGTAAAAAAAAAACATGCGGAATAGTTGTATATTTTGAATGAATAAGGGCTAAATTGTCAGGGTGAAAAATCCATGACTGCATTAATAATTGTAATAATCTTTATACCATCGGTGTTTCATTTCACATTAAACAAGCATTAGAAATACATTACTCTCTGGCTAAGTGCTCATAATTAAATAAGCCACACAATAAAGATTAGCGCTTTGACAAACAGCAATTTACAATGCACGTACTTAATTAAGTTAATCCTATTTAAGTTTCTCTTAATTTCTCTTGGAGCATTTGTTCAATTTCTAAAGTCTATATTAAAAATTTAATATTATTCTATCTATGAAATAGAATTTCTGCACTTCAATTTAATATTTAATACTAGAAGTTTCTCCGGATGGTTCGACAAAATGTTCGAATTTTGTTCGAAAATTGAACACTACCGTCGTCAGCAAGAATAAAGGCTTAGAGACCTACGTTATGTCGAATGGATATTTCATCTTGGACTAGGAAAGAAAGCCAATTGCATTTAACGAGCGCTCCTCTGTCTCCCTCCCATCCTCCTTCGTCTTCCACTCCTTCTCCACCTCCGTCGTCACCGCCACTTTCGAGCTCAAAATCCGTTTCTCTGCATTTGCTCATGCCCCTGATTTGTCAAATTAGAAGAAGGCAAATACATTCGACGCGGAGGAAGAACATAAGGGAGATTTAGTGTCGACTGAGAGAAAAGGGGCAGCTTCGACGAACTGACGGCATCGGTAGTCGTCGCACTAGCGGCACTAGTAAGTTTCACTTCATTTCCTGTCGAGTGTGCGCTGACGACGTAGCAAGAGTTCTCGAAGCACCGTTGACCCACGTACGGCCCGCGAGCAGTTTGAGTCCCATCTCCTCGGCTCTGTCCGGTTCTAGCTGCCTCTGCGTCCACGTGTGCGAAAAGCCCTAATTTAACGTGGGAATGTTCTTCTTCATTCGTACGGCGCACTTGGCGATTTGAGGACAATTCGGTTTGTCGATCAGTGCTATACACCAATGGTCGCTTCCGAGCGATGATGCACTGACCATCAGCGACGATCCTACTATGTAGTAATGGCACGATGCACGTGCTCGCCAACTATACCAACTATTAGTTTCTCTATTATATTCAAGTTCATTCATGATTAGACTAATGTGGCTGACTCGTTACAAAACTTACCTCGCTTTACATGCATGCTACTGTAAATTGCCTTTCACAGTTGCGACAAACGCATTTTTATCGTTATTTTGTACGGAAATCTTTAATTACAAGCTGCCATCTATCCATTTATATAGGTTCTATTTACACTACGATAATCATTCATTCAATACGATAATCCTCATCAGCCAATATCACAAGTGCATACGTACATGTTTCATTTGAGCATCGATTATGGGTTTTGCGACCTCCTGTCAATTCAACTATAAAATTACATTTTTGATACGCTATGACAAAAACATTCAACTTCTAGAATTTTGTGTGTAATAATTAATTGAACAGCGAATAATAAATTGGCTATATTTTAAAATACTTTGAGAAAATATTTTATGTAATTTACAGTGGATAGTATGAAATGTATGCAGAAACATATACATAGAGTAGTTCTGACAGCATGTGTCGAGATAAGTTATATATAATCATTATCAATTCTGAAATAATATCTTCAGTGATGTAATAATCTATCTGTGTATGAATTATCGATTATTATTTTTAATGATAATAATTTTTAATTTAATAATTTTTAATTTAATGTGATGAATTATCGAATATTAGTTGATTTCCATTCGAGTAAAAAGAAATATATAATTATATAAGTAAAATATATTATTTATGGTATATATAATTAAGGCCAATAATATACTGTCGAATAGAATTTGTTTAATAATATAGCTAAAAATATTTTTTTATATCTTATAAATTAATCGGTGATATGAAATCCATCAATCAATAGGGATTTATTAATTAATCTATACATATTAATTATTCTATATATATCTACTCTCTTTTATTTACATATTATCTCTAGATATCGTCACAATAAGTTTTACTTTTTTAGTTTTACTTTATTGACTTAAAAGTCATAAATGTGTGTGTTCATACATTTACATTTTAACGAATATAATTAATTTTTGTTTGTGTAAAGAAAAATTATTTTAGTTTAAAACAAGGAGTTTTGTAAAATAAAACTCAGTTATAATATTGATAAATTCAGTTAGTACGTAGTTAATTTCAATAAATTTATCGTATATTTCAAATGTTTCGTGTGTTTATAAATCGAGTTGTATAATAGTTTAGGCAGAAAGTAAATGCTGAATTGTTCTATAATGACAACTATTATCTATTAACTAGTAATTAAAGAAATATTAAAATTTGACGTTTAATGGTAGTTTATAATGATCATAATCCAAATTTAATAGTACCATTGATAATAAAAAATTTTTCTTCACAGTGACTCATATAATAAGAAAGTGTCTTACGTTAGGCTTACGGTTTCGTTTGAGAGATGAGACGGCGTACTTTATTATGTAGCCAATACGACGGACGGTCAACAAAAATTTATATTACGAAATCATTTAATTAAGAAATTGCGTGGTTTTATGTGTGTGAGAATTTTAAAATTGATAATAATTTAAGAATAAATGTAATCGGTCATTGGCATCCATAGCGGTGAATTATTATTTATAAATAATCATCCAGTAGTAGCTTAAATACACAATAATCATAAACGACTTGATTTTATGTAAATTGATTTTAATCGTTTAATTTTATTTCGAGTCGAATTTCAAGCGAAAAGTTGTTGCGAGATAATAAAACACGTCGATCTGGATGAGACAAGGTGTTTTAAAAGGCCTGTAGCTTGGTCGCCATATTTTCTCTACTTTTTTTTTTTTTTTTTTTTTTTACAAATACTCACAATAATCGAATAAAACATTCTATTAAATAATTCTATTCAACTCAACATACTCACGCTAGCGTTATATCCTTTATATTACTTCGAACAGTCAATGGATTTGAAACAGCTCGCCATTATTATATTATAGTCAATGACTACTTTTACATCTTACGCTTTAGCTTGCTATTTAAAACGCGACTTCTGAACGTAAATTTCATCGCTTATTATATGCGACGGCACTTACACTATAATAAATAACGTAAAATAAAGATAAGACGCTGCCGAGAAGACTAGAAGACATTAGTCCGGCTGTGCCAGCCAGCCGTCCTTCACAATAAACTAACTATTCGCCTGCGAGGTTATGGCGCACAACGATGCCATGGCAAATCGCGTCGTAGGATCGATAAACTAGCTGCGAGGGGTAAACCCGATGTGTGCCGCACCCTTGCTGGTCTATCGATCGTTTATGTTGCAGCGGTGGTGGCGACGGCTGCGGCGGAAGGGAAGGGTGCGTGCGTATATAGGGTGGTATGAGTGTGGCGGCGGCGGCGACGGTCGTGACGACGAGTGCGTATGAGCACTTTGTTCGCACACTCGGTCAT